TCGTTTGTTGCTGTGTTACATATTTTTTTTTTCGTTATTTTTTGTACATTAATTAGGCCGTTTAGTTTTTCAATTGAATTGTTTTACATTTGTGATTTCGGGGCCTTTTATAGCTGACTATGCGGTATGGGCTTTACTCATTGTTGAAGGCCGTACGGTGACCTATAGCTGTTAATTTCTGTGTCATGTGGTCTCTTGTGGAGAGTTGTCTCACTGGCGATCATCTTCTTTTTTATAGAAGGCAATTCACTTCTGAAAATAAACAAAAACATTATTCAAATTTTCTGAAATATATAAGCCGGGACTCGGTGTTATGCTTAAATTCAAGTTTTAACATTTTTGTTCTATACATGAATGTAAAGTTCCTGCACGGAATGAATGGTTAAAACAAAATCAGCTGGACTGCGGAAGCAAATACACTCCAAACATTTAATTAAGATTAGATTGCATTTTTTTTTACCAAAATAGAAAATCAATGTCCTATAAAGTCAGAATTGTTTCTATAAAGAGACACAGAGGCAAATGGGTTCTATATCAGTCAACCCTTGAACTTTTCCCATCCCTTAACATTTGTTAGTCTATTATGGTATCTGTATCTGTATACACAGTAAAGGGTCCGGTCCAATCGCGGATATATGTGCACTGGAAACCAAGGAGAGTTGGTTGGTTAGTCATATTGTTGGAGGGCCCAGTCGTGAAACTCTCAAATGTCTTCTGGTATGCGATATTCTCTTCCAGATTGTTCCACTGCACTATTGTTTTTCGGAAAAAAGTAGTTCATTCGGATGATTGTCTTGTAATCATTCCATTCAAATAATCTGATTTTTTTATTTCTTGTCTTTCCGCAATGTTTGAATGTTGAAAGTCACTACAAAGTCTTTTGCCTTGACTTAGCGTTTATATGTTATTGGTGTTAAGAAAAAGTTTATATAGTTCTGAAATGTATACAAACGCATTGAAGATGAACAAATATAATTAGCGATTTAGGCCTTAGTTATTAACAAGAAGATAGCTAAATATATGTATTGAATGAAAATCAGAAAACGAGATTCAGCTATTGGCTGTGTCGCTTTCTTAAAACCACTTGGGTATATAAATGATACAATGAATGGGAGGTGCGTCTTTTTATATTCCAAATTCGCATGTTGTTGGCTGAAAATCCTAAAACAAACAACTTGTTATCAGTAAATTAAAATCAAGCTAAATATTATTTTTATATACATATGCACATTCATAGCTCTACAATCTGTCGGTACCTGTATCTTGGCATTGCACAAGGTAATGTTTTTCTCCGACTGTTTATAACGTCTTCATTAAATCCATTGGATGTTGGATGTGTACTGATTGATACTTTAGTCTTAGATGCATGATTTTTTTATTAGTTGCTATTGGCTTTGAATTATAGCTGTCAGTAATTGCGAGTACTATCAGATCTTTACTTAGTGTCATTTTGTTGTGGGGATGTATATACATAAGTACCCGTCCACGTCCTCTCTGTGTTTTTGTTAGATGTATTTCTATTGGTATCCATCCGATGAGTTAAGCCTTTTTCAACTGATTTTTATAGTTTGTCCCTATGTTGTACTGTTACACCACTGTCCCAGGTTAGGGGATGGTTGGCGCCTGCAAACGAGTTTAACCCCACCACATTTTGTATGTGCCTGTCCCAACTCAGAAGCCTGCAATTAAGTGGTTGTCGTTTGCTGCTGTGTAACATATTTGTTTTTGTTTATTATTTTGTACATTAATTAGGCCGTTAGTTTTCTCGTATGAATTGTTTTATATTTTTCATTTCGGGGCCTTTTATAGCTGACTATGCGGTGTGGACTTTGCTCAATGTTGACGGCCGTACGGTGGCCCATAGTTGTTAATTTCTGTGTCATTTGGTCTCTTGTGGAGAGTTGACTCATTTGCAATCTTACCACATCTTATTTTTATAAAAACCAAAAAAAAAATATGAAAAAACAACAACAAACAATAGAAAAAAACAAAGACAGAACAAAGCTAATAAACTAATTAAGAAAACCAGGCAAATCACCTTAAAACCTCCTAAATAAAACGTTTAAACCCGCTGCATTTAATATTCACCTGTTCTTAGTAAGGAGCCTGTTGTTCAGTGGTTGTCGTTTGTTGGTGTGGTTCATTAATGTTTCTCTTTTCTCGTGTTTTATATAGATTAGACCGTTGGTTTTCCTGTTTGAATTGTTTTACACTAGTCTTTTATGGGCCCTTTATAGCTTGCTGTTCAGTGTGAGCCAAGGCTCCGTGTTGAAGGCCGTACTTTGACATATAATTGTTTACTTTTTACACATTGTGACTTGGATGGATAGTTGTCTCATTGGCACTCATACCACGTCTTCTAATTTATAAATTGCAAAAAAATTTATTTTGAACATGCAGTTCTTATACGTGAAAATTCAGTGTGTTGAAGGCTTATAATTTTCAGATGTGTGACAACAATAAAAGCATATGGGATTCGTCAAGTACGTGCGCGTTGCGATTTGTGTCAAGACAGGAATTAATATACCATATCATTTTTAAGATCATACAAAACAAAATATCTGTGTAATACTATCACAAATGGTGCCTGCGTAAATCTTTGTATGCAAAATCTGTTTGGACCACTTCAAAAATATAAACAAATTCATTCGTATGGTAAAAATAAGAAATTCGTTAAAATAAACCGACAGGAAATTGAATATCAAAAGTTCATAAAACATAACTAAAACATTTTCATAAAGTTAAAATGTAATTCGGTTCTACCCATTGGAGTTAAAGACAATTAACAAAAATCTATACGTTTCCGTAAACTTCACATCGAAGGGCATCTTTGAATTAAGACAAAATATAACTCAAATCACGTACAACAGAATTTTGTTCTTGATTGATTTTAAAAAAGGTATCTATATCCCAAGCAAATATGACATTTCTTTTGGCATCAGTTTTGGGAATGTTGTTTTTCAACCCCAATCAACTTTGTAACTGATTTGGCTTAGAAATGTTTTGATTCGACCGACACATACGAGTCTTATACAAAAGAAACGCATGTCTGGCGTATAAAATCAGAATTCGTATAAACATTCAATATCTAAGCATTAAATTCTTTTTATGTTTCCAGATATTCGGAACAAAAAATATTATTATTCATGTTATTCACATGCATTTCAAATTTGAAAACCAAACTTCGTCAGAAATTGTCTAATGATTGATTTTGGTTGCTTAACGTCCAGTGGCAAATATTTCATGCGTGGTCTATTGATATGACAGCAGTATTATTCCACGTGAAATCAATCATTATAATACGTCAAATAATATTGGCATATATGAATATGTGGATTTCAAAGTTGATAGCTCGTAAAATATCTATTAAATTTGATTTATTATTATACATGTATATCATAGGATATTTGGCTATACCTTTTTTGTCCGTTTAGGCTTATAGCTCTTCATCTTTTTAATAAGCTTTGGATTTTAAAATATTTTGGCCTCGAGCATCACTGAAGAGACATTGATTGTCTAAATGAGCAATTAGTGCAGTAAAATTGGTACCGTTTATGTTATAATTATTTATTAGTTGTTATATATTTATATAAATCCTCCATTTTTACAAGATATATTGACAGCAACTTTTTTCAAATGAATAAGATTTGCGATTTTAAAAAAAGTATAATCGTTTGCACGAAGTACAGGAACAATGCGAAAAAAAGGTGTTTATTAACTAGGCAGGCGGAGCTAATAATTCTTTATCTTGGATTGCTTTCATACGGTATTGTTTTTTTATACAATATGATCTGCTTTCAAACGAAATGAAAGCATATGACGGAATTGTCTTTAAGCAAAATAGTAAAGATTGAAAGACGTTTGAAAATGGCCCTGGTGTGGAATAAACTCAGGAGAAATGGCATTTTATGGAGCTGTGTATGCAATATAAAAACATACGAGGCTCAGATTAAGTTAAGGTCCATTTATACGATCAAAGTTTCAGGCATCCAAATTTAAAAATGTTAACGTTAACAATGTAAAAATAAGGAGATTTGGTATGATTGTCAATGAGACAACTATCCACCAAAGTTCAAATGAAGTGGTTGTAAGCAACAATAGGCAACCGAACGGCCTTCAACAATGGGAAAAAAACATATCGTATAGTCGACGTTAGAAGGTCCCGACACGAAAAATATGAAACAGTTCAATTGAGAAAACTAACGGCCTAACTTATAACAAAACACATATGACAGACAGGAACCAACAACAACCACAGAACTACATGTACAGGCTAATGACTAGGGACAGTATGATTTCTTTGTGAAAAGAGCCGCTGAGGGACCGGCACATCATAAAAGGTGTCGAGGTTAAATATGTTTAAAGGCGCCAACCCTCCCCTAACCTGGAACAGAGGGGAGGGTTGAGATCTCACAAAACATGTTTAACCCCGCCGCATTTTTGCGCCTTTCCGAAGTCAGGAGCCTCTGGCCTTTGTTAGTCTTTTATGCTTTTAAATTTTAGTTCATGTATATGTTTTGGAGTTTAGTATGACGTCCATTGTCACTGAACTAGTACACATTTTTGTTTAGGGGCCAGCTGAAACCCGCGTTTCCGGGTGCGGGATTTTCTCGCTGTGTTGAAGACCCATTGGTGGCCTTCAGCTATTTTTTGCTCTTTGGTCGGGTTGTTGCCTCTTTGACAAATTCCCCATTCCCAATCTCAATCTTATTTTTACTGTTACTGTATAACATAAGAACAAACTACCAAAATCAGCTGAAAGCTTAACTCATTAGATAGATACAAAGCAGAAAAGCATCTATCAAATACACAGACCGGACGTGGCAGCGTATTTATACATCCTTAACAACAAAAATGACACAAAGAACATATCTGAGAGTACTCGCAGTTTCGGACAGCTAGATCATGTATCTTAGACTAAAATATCAATCAGTACACATCCAACATCCAATTGATTTAGTGTAAAGACGTCATTTACAGTCAGATCTATCATATTTCAGAGAGAAACAAATCAACGTTGATGGACCTTGATTGTTCCTGGCCAATTAGAATGAGTTTTATGGACAATGAGATCATCGATAAATAGGTAAATTTGTATTTGTAATGTTTGCTTCATCTTATTTATCATTAAGAAAACAAAGAAAAGCTGCCGTCCAAGTGCTTAAAATCAAAGGAAAATGCACAAGTTTAAAACTTCATGTATAAAAAGTTAACGATCCTTTTTTGATGTATGCATGATTTCCCACCAAATTTATGGAATTATTCCAGCAAAAACTAGGATCGTGTAAATAGAATATTTTGAAAATGTTTCATATTCTAAGGATCGCTCACAAACCTGTTTAACCCCGCCACATTCTTTGTGTGTCTGTCCCAAGTCTGGAGCCTGTAGTTCAGTGGTTGTCGTTGGTTCATGTCTGTCATATTTGTTTTTCGTAAATTGTTTTGTTATAAATTAGGCCGTTAGTTTTCTCAATTGAATTGTTTCATATTTTTCATGTCGGGGCCTTTTATAGCCGACCATGCGGTATGGGTTTTCTCATTGTTGACAATCATACCTCATCTCTTTACCTTCTATAGGGTAATGTTTTGTATATTGAACAGCTACAATGCAACAAAGCACGTTAACATGTAACTGTTCGTGTTTGTCTTGGTATACACACGTGTCCATTTATTTGAAGTTTGGTTGCATAACTCAGACAATGGATGTTGAACTGCCATCATGGACCATCATGCGTATTTTCGTTTGATTTTTTATATTCCCGGCAAATTGCTCTAAATGTTTGCATTATGCCTGAAATTTTGCATGTGTGCTATATTTTTTATTTGTGCTTAATTTTTAGTTTTGCTTAAATTTTAGGTGCTTCATTTTTTTAGTTATGCTTCAGTTTTGGCATGTTTAGATGTGTAGTTTAGTAATGCTTTGCATTTATTTCAATATGCCTGTGCGGTTCCTATGCATTTGAACAAAAATTGCTGCTTATATATCTTATCTGCATGTTCTGTGTTTTAATGTTATGTTTATGTTATTTGCATTCGGTAAAAAGCTCTCACAGAGGCGGATTTAGAGGGGGGCCCAGGGGGGCCGCCCCCTCTTTTCTGGGAAAAATGTGGTTGATTATATTGGGAATCACTGAAGCATGACCGGAGCAGGCCCCTCATAGGCAGTCAGTGGGCCCCCACTTATGAGAGTTTCTAGATCTGCCACTGTCTCAAGAGCTTAAGTTTGTATTGTTATATGTGAACCGAATCAAAATAAAACTTTCGTATTCGTATAAATATATAAACGAATTTATAGCGCGCTCTCTCTATATCTCTCTCTATCCAGAGAAGGTTAACACATTATACAACACGTATGGTATTAGTATTCCAATCAGTATATTTTTGACGTTTAGTGTGCAAATTTTACAAACACGTATATCAAGGATATCGTCCTGACACAAATGTTGGTTAAATATGCAAATACCGACAATGAACTTGCCAGCATTCAAAATTTCACTATCATCGGTATAAAAAAAATACCACACTATACCGAGCGAATCACAACAATACACATTTATCAAAGTAATTATTATCTAACCTGTTCTACCTGTCTTGATGAAATGACTTGAATCACTTTTTATATATTCATACTTGTCAGAAACGAGGTTTATTTATGTAGCGACAGAAATTTTTACATTTGTACTATGCATATTATTAGTATACTGTTGTTAGTTTCATCTTGTTATCAATGTTTTGGATATTATCAATTTCAGGCTTATATTCCAAATGGACTGAACGTTAAAGACCCATGTGATGCCACTCAGATATGGAAAGGCGTTGGTCATATGGGACCACTGGGGTCTGGGCCGAGAAATGCGTTTGGTGAAGACTTCAAACTAAATGGTTTCGTAAGTATGCTTTATCTTAATGACCACATGTATAAGGAAACTTTCTCTTTCCTTTGACAACGCACTATGATTGACCAATTGTGGGTTTTAACAGCATTAGAAACAAACAACAACAAAAAAAAAAGATATAAATTCTAACTTCTGACAGATATTAAAAGAGTTATAACAGTAAAGAGTTCATGCAAGAAGACAGAGGGGAAAATTGGAGACCAGCATAGACAAAGTCGTTCAATACAGTCTGGGAAAAACAGAAAATAGTAATTTTTTATGTTTCATTGGTCAATCATAGTGCTTTATCTTGCTCGCAAGAAAATATATTGTACAAAGGAACTCAAATGGTAAAATTGAAGTCGTCTCTTTGAAAGTTTTACGGACGCCATCATGATTTGATGGACCATTGTGGAAAATTTGTGTCATAGTTGACCCCAAAATGTTTCATTTGCCTTGGTTTTGTCTATTTTTCTTCGACTGATGGTTCTTGATTATCCCATTAATCTATATTATATCCTTATTCTTTTCTTTTTGCCATCACAAATAATCTTGTAAAAACATCCCTAAAGTAAAGCACCGTCGCCTTCCGCTTTATACTGCAATTTCGTAAAACTATTACCGTATTATAAACATTTCTTATAAGCAACTTAAGAATTAGCCTATAGACTTTTATTGTTGCTGGCATATTTCGGTTCATTAAACCAACATGTCCGCCATGGCTAGATTACAATCAGGTCTGGATGGGGTTTACAGAATAGAGAATAATGGACAAAATGGTCAAAAAAATTAGCAAAAAGAATACAGAATAGAGAGAAATAAGGCAAACAAATAAACCATTGAGAATAATAGGGTGCTCAAATATAAAGAAAAGAGAATAATTGGAAAAAAATATAAAGAATAGAGAAAAAATACACAATAGCTTGCTGTTCGGTGTAAGCCAATGCTCCGTGTTGAAGGCCGTACCCTGACCTATAATGGTTTACTTTTATAAATTGTTACTTGGATGGAGAGTTGTCTCATTGGCACTCATACCACATCTTCCTATATCTATTAGATTAGTACGCCATCTAGACCCTCACACCACTTAAGGATGTAATGCAAGTAATTGTCCTATATCATAATATATATCGGACTATGATAAACATTCCTTTATTGCTGGAAATTCCGTGAGGTGACTGTGCAATAGCCAATCTGATTAAAATTCAGAAATACATCGTAACTCTCTTACTCGTTGAAGCATATAGAAAAATCAGAGATCTATATTTTTATCAAATTGGTGCATTCTAAGCCGTTTTTTTCAATCAATCGTTTCCTCACAAATAAAATACGAGCTTCTTTATAATTAGCTTATTACACACATCACAGACAAGGTACTACACCATGTATAGCCTTCAAAAATAATATTCAATATTTTCCATCAATGATCTACCATATTGACTTCTAGAATCATTATAAAATACGCCACATGAACCCGATGATTTTTTTTTCCTTTACATAATCTTCAGATATTTCTAAGGTCATGAACCCAGGACTAGCGTTTACATAAATAGGCAATAAAGTTGTCATATAAATAGTTTGTTACATCGACCAACGACCAGGCGAAAGTACAATGACCAATTATCATGATGTCCTTATACTTTATGGGAAATAATTTGTATTTATAGACGTATGAAGTTCCTATATAAGATACAAACGTAAAAAATTACGACATTTTAAACCAAAACTAGTACGTATTGATGAAATTTCATGAAAGCAAATCAGAAGATTTGTTAGGGGTCCTGGTGGCCGAGTGGTCTAAATAATCGAACTACTGTATCACTAGCCTGTGATGGTTCTTTATACGGACACTTCGGCTTCCTCAACCAATCAAAACTGACCGCCACGAAATAGCACACAATAATGCTGAAAGAGGCTTTAAACACCAACCAATCAATCAAAAGATTTGTTTGTTGGATTTTGTAATGTGTTTTTCCGGGATTTTTATTCTAAATCAAATTCCCTATTTTGATTTGTTCATTATAAACTCTGCCAATTGTTCTGTAAGCTAGACAGGTAGCTGTCAAACAATCATTGTATCTCGGTCAAATAATGTAGATGGCAACATTGTTGAGCATTTGAATCTGGGTCACAGTTTCCCAAATTATCTTTTAAAATGTTTAGCATTGGCGGATCAAGAAAAAAGGGGGGGGGGGGGGGTGTTCCGGGGTTGCAACCTTCCTTATGTTAAATTTTTTTCAATTAATATTTTATTTTTAATCATTTCAGCGTTTCGTTGGGTTCCAGGGGTTGCAATCCCCCCCCCCCCCTCCCCCCCCCCCCCCCCCACTTATCAAAATTGCTGGATCCGCGCCTTCCTAAATTCCTTATGAAATGTCATGTATCGATACACGTTTGTTGGATTATTTAAATGTCAGTTCTACGTTTCATGCTACAAATTATGTCGCTATATAATGTCAAATTTCACCACATAAGTGACAAGTAATTAATAAAATATTCATATGTTATTCAATTATGAAAAATGCAAATTTTGAAACTTTTGAAGACATTCACTATATCCATCATGTCCATGTCGTCCATGTGCACGGAACCATACATTCTAGTTTCAAATAACCCTAGTAAATCATGCTAGATCTTTCTAAGTGGAGCCAGTTTGGCTGCGGATATTATTTACAAAGCAACATCGGAATCAGTGGAAAATATAGCACCAATTCGTAGTTGGTTCAACCAAACTGAAATGATTTGATATCATACAAGTTGAAAGTTTAATTCGAATGACCGTGTGCCAATTTTTGGGCATTCGTCAAATGTTCGCAAGAGGAATGTTTCAAGAGGTTTCCCCCAAAAAATGAGTATAAGCATATGGAAAAGATTTACGTTTTTAAATAAATATACAGAACATTTTCTTTTCCCCAATTTGATTACTTGCGACAGTTTTTATGCGGGGCATTAAGTGTTACCCTTGCCCGTTGGTCTATCCATCCGGACGTACGTCCCAAAATTAGTTTCCTTTCTCTAACTTTCGTTTGCCTCAACCAAATGTTGTGGAACTTATACACAATGCTTATTACTACAAAACACAGATCAAGTTTGAATTTGTGTGGCTTCACTTTTACCGTTCTGGAGTTATGTCCCTTTATAACTTTTTACGATGCAAGCGGGGGCATCACCTGTGTCCCACGGATACATTTTCCTTTTTTCACAGTTATTTGCCAACTTTTTATGGTCGTTCACCTCTTTCAAGATTAGACTTATAACTATAAACCATTGTAAAACAATACACATTGTACAATATGTTTGCACAAAACAAAAATCATCCGTTTTAAGGGGTTCACATGTTACGTCAACATCAACCATTTCGAGGTTCTTATTTCCGTAAATTGATGAGGGTGTGGATTTATAGAATAGAAAACAAAGGGATCAAAAATATAAAGAATAAAGAAAAATGGATAAAAAAAAATAATGTATAGAGAATAATGAGATGCTAAAATATAAAGAATAATAGAGAATAATGGGCAAAAAAATAAAGAAAGAATAGAGAAAAACTGGCCGAAAAAAATTAAGAATATAGAAATGGAGGAACCCCATCCAGACCCTCGTCGATAAAATAAAATATCGTGTAAGTAGAAATGATACAAATAAAAATACTACAACAGTATTTTATTTTTATAGCAATGGACAACCGATTTATGCTGGAAGGATTCTGACCAAGATGGACGCTACAACGGATATGAGTTAGGTGACCCATGGTGCTTATGGACTCCTGGTAGCAAACAGGCGCTATATCCACCTCTCTCCCATCCAGGTACAAGTAAAAGAATCATTAAAAACTTTACTTTCGTTATAAATAAAAACGCTTCAACCTGAGTTCTTGGAAATATGATAATTTAAAACGTCGCTTTTATATTTCCTTTTAAAAAAGTTACGGATCACAAATATGCATGTCTATTTCTTAATTTATTTTTATTTCCACTTGTTATTTTAGGAATATGTGAGCCGTGGGACAGCGAAACGTGTCAAAGCAGAAATGGTTCACTGCAGTGTAACAACAAATTGCCAGCTTGCGATGGAATAAATGCAACAGGTAGTATATAGATGGAATAAAGGTGCACTGGTCGTTTGCCTTTTTTAGCTCACCGGGCCCGAAGGTCCCCGTGTGAGCTTATGCCATCACTTGGCGTCCGTCGTCGTCTGTCGTCGTCTGTCGTCGTGGTCGTTGTCGTCGTCGTAAACTATTTCAAGAATCTTCTCCTCTGAAACTACTGAGCCAAATACCTCCAAACTTTAACTGAATGTTCCTTAGGGTATCTACTTTATAAATTGTATCCGAAGTTTTGATCCACCAACAAACATGGCCGCCATGGCTAACAATAGAACGTAGGGGTCAAATGCAGTTTTTGGCTGATATCTCAAAAACTAAAGCATTTAGAGCAAATCTGACAGAAGTAAAAATGTTCAATAGGTCGAGGTCTATCAGCCCTAATATTTCCAGACGAACCGAACAACCCATTGTTGGGTTGCTGCCACTAAATTGGTAATTATAAGGAAATTTTGCAGTTTTTGGTTATTATTTTGAATATTATCGAAGATAAAGATAAACTGTAAACTGCAAAAATGTTCAACAAAGTAAGATCTACAACAAAACTAATATGACCAAATTGTCAATTGATCCCTTAAGGAGTTTTTGCCCTTTAAAGACAATTTTACACAATTTGTTCATCATGTTTGCTAACATTTAAAAATCTTCTCCTCTGGGTTATGAATTGTATCCGAAGTTTTGATCCATTAACAAACATGGCCGCCATGGCTGAAAATAGAACATAGGGGTCAAATGCATTTTTTGGCTTTTATCTCAAAAACTATAGCAGTTAGAGCAAAAGTAAAAGGGAGTGAAAGTGATAAATGGGTCATGAGCTATCTGTCATGAAGTTTTCAGACAAGTTTGACAACCCATTGTTGGGTTACTGTTGGAAATAGTTTATTTTTATTAAATTTTACTGTTTTTGGTTATTTTCTTTAATATTATAATTGATAGAGAGAAAGTATAAATGGCAACAAATGTTCAGCTAAGTAAGATCTACAAATAAGTCAACATGATCAAAATAGTCAATTCATCCCTTAAAACGTTTTTTTTTACATTTTTTGTGAAAGTCTAATTACTTTTTAAAAAATCTTCTTCTCTGAAACTACTAGGCCAAATACTTAAAAACTTTAATTGAAGGTTCCTTAGGGTATCTAGTTTATAGATTGTATTCTGGGATTTGATCCATTCAAAAACATGGAGTTTTTGGCTTTCATCTCAAAAACTAAAGCAGTAAGAGCAAAACTGACATAGGTGAAAGTGTTAAACAGGTTTAGATCTACCTGTCGCGTAATCTTCAGACCAATAGGACAACTTATTGTTGGGTTACTGTCCAGAAATAGTTAATTTTTAGGAAATTTTACAGTTTTGGGTTATGTATTATCTTTAATATTATTATAGAAAGAGAGAAAGTGTATAAATGATAAAATTGTTCAGCAAAGTAAGATCTGCAAATAAGTCAAATGCCTGAAACTGAAATAACAGGTGAGCGATATCAGGCTCTTATGGACCTCTTGCTTTTTAACCTGTAACACGATAGGACATTTGCGCTGCAAACACTGAGGACATTTACTATTTAAATTTTGATAAACCTATATAAATTTGACCGGACATTTGCGCTTTTTACCTATTTAGTTCACATGAACACAGTCTTAAACATTGAATTTAAAGTTATAGAGACTAGTAAAGGAAAACAATTACATAAAGAGAAACTAGAATAGTTAGTTGAAATGTGGGCGAAATACCAGTCAGACCAGATTACAAGGGCTAACTTTGTTCATTCCTAGGGCTTCAGATATTAAGTGAAAACTGACCTGTGATGACTTTCCGTGTCTTAATGTCTTTAGAATGTTTGCTTTTAGCTATACATAACCATATGATTGTGCTATGAAAAGACTTTTAAACACGAATGTGCGATGAAATGGATGTGCTATGATATATGTGTATGACTATTTAACTTTTAAGCATAAAGAAAATTATGACTTTAACTCTATAGGTCAAATCTACCGGTCCTAAGCCTTGATAAAAGAAGAGGGAAGTCTTTAGAAGGAAATAGTGTAAAAGCGCAAATGTCCTATGAAAAAGTGCAAACGTCCCGCGCCGGAATAAAGAATGGAAACGGGGAATGTGTCTGAGAGACAGCAACCCGACCAAATAGCAAAAATATGCCCAAGGCCACCAATAGGTCTTCAACGCAACGACAATTTTCTTAAATAAAATATAAATGATAAGGAGATGTGTTTTGATTTCCAATGAGACCCATATCCACCAGAGTCTAAAAGGACGTGGATTCAAGCAAATTGAGTAACTGTGTGACAGAATATAAGTTTCCCCATAATGTTTGTTCCAAAGAAATTTTATCATATAACAAAAGTTTCATTGGGAACTTTCCTTATGTAATATTTTATCCAATGATATAAGAGAATTTTCTTCACAAAGGATAAAATATTACATAATGAAAGTTCCCAATGGAACTTTTGTTATATGCTGAAAGTTCTATGGAATAACTATTATGGACAATGTTGTGACATTTTCCACCAGTATCATATGAAACTTCGAATTGGAACTTTTGCATTAAGTTCCCTATAATAAATATACTGATTTCTATCATGGTAGCAAATAAGTAACAACAAATGAGGTAAAATCATTTTTAGACATATATATATTGTACATATATATACAAAACACTGTTTAGAACAAAATCTCGAGAATGCATTGACTGTTCATTTACAGCTTTTTATGAGAGGAAAATATTCACCAATACTGTTAGGGCGCTCTTTGTTTTGGTCGTCCATTAATTGCTCTTGTGGAAAATTTGTTATATTATAAAAGTTCCAGGAGTATTTGTACAGGTAAATGCCATACACAGGTGAGGTGAGCAGTAATTAAGATGCAATCGGGTGTAAACAAAAATACATTACACTCTTTCTTTAAAGGAACAAATATTATGAAACCATATGTTTTAGTTCCAGGAAAATATCTTATAAAGGTGGAAGTAATATTATGTAATGCTTGTTCCCAAGAGTTTTTATTTTCCATATTTTTGTTCCGGGGGAACAAGTATTATGCGGAACAAATATATGTTCACAACTGTACTAGTGGACTTCAACAATGAGCAAAACCCATTCCATATACTTAGCGTTAAAAGCTTTAAAGGCATAATTTTTGGGGCCCTTTATAGCTTGCTGTTCGGTGTGAGCCAAGGCTTCGTGTTGAAGACCGTACTTTGACCTATAAGGGTTAACTTTTATAAATTTTGACTTGGATGGAGAGTTGTCTCATTGGCACTCATACCACATCTTTTTATATTTATATATTTGTTCTTAAAGAAATTCTTTTATTTTCCATATCAGTAAGCTATTTATATAATATTGATATAAATGTACGATGGAAAGAAAAACGAAATAGGCTAAAAAAAAAAGATAAATATATTAGAGTTTGGATGGGTGTTGGTAATCTTCATTTCTGTATTCAATAATTGTTCGTGCCATTTTTCTTTTTGTATTCTTTATACTTTAGCACCAAATAATCTCTAATTATCTTTTGCCATTTTTCTCTATTCTTTTAGTTTTTGTCCGTCATTCTATATTCTGTGAACCCCATCCAAACCCTCTTATTATATTATTATGATAACCCGTTTACACTAAAATTGCATTCATATTTTGACGCTTTTGACGCATGGAGTTTTTATAAAGTATTGTTTTCGTTTTTTACAACACTGGGTCAATTACGCTGATGGTGGACTACCAGTCCCTGATAGTATCATCAGCTCTGTAGTCAATAGTTCAGTACTGATATGATTTATAACAAATTGTTCTTAATTTATCCGTTTATAAATTTGGAAATTATTAAGAAAGTAAAGTTTAAAGTCCCCTGATGCACAGTTGACCTTAGATGGATTTGGCTATTTGTTTCGGGTCCTTTTTGGTCATAAAGCTCTTCAACTGTTTCGGTTCTTGAGTATCCATGGCTTTCAAATTTTCGGCTTTGGACTTTCCTGGTGTAGGTAGATCCAAAAGGGCGCTTCGTACTCATGACATGTATAAAGTGTTCAAGTGTTTTCCTTTTTTTACGTTCCCCACTACTTCAGTGTATACTATTGTGTATAATTTATTTTTTAGATGTTAAAAATGTAACCCTGAGACTACCATTGTCATATGTACCTGCTAGGCGAGTATCTTACGTATGTTCGCTATTCAGTCTTCCAAGTGACGCAGAGTATCACGTGATTGCTGCCTTGCCAATTAAAGACAACTCTCAGATATTACATGGAATTACTGTATTCGGTTGTGGTAAGTATAATTATACCAATACTTGAGGGTATGTATGGAGCTATACTATTGCTATTCAGTATTCATTGATGTTTCGTCTAGTTTTTATAGGCCCGTTTACGAGACGTCTTATGGTATACCATTGTCCGTCCGTCTGTCGTCAACATGTCGAACAATAACTCAAAAACGTTTTAACCAATGTTCATGAAACTTTGATGAATTGTTTACATCTATCAAAATAAGCCCCCTTTAAAAAAATTAGTTTTTTTTTTAGAAATTTCTGATATGGCATTGGAGAGTATTTTAACTTTATTCGTCATAAAAACTACGGTCGTACCAAGCACTCATGGCGCAGCTCTTTATTGTATTTGTCCACAAGTGCCTGTCACAAGTTAGGAACCTTTTCAGTTGTTGTCTTTTTTGTATACCTCTGATGTTTGTGTTTGTCAGTTAGGGAATTTTGTACTGATGACAGATCTTAGATGTTCTCTGTTTAGTTATGATTTTTCTAGACTCACGGCAATATAGAGGTTGAAAAATTGTTTATAAACCTTGTTTTTTAAAGTCGATATGTTGACACTAGATGTCTTTTGTGTTTATGTGCGTGTGTCGTTAACCTGCGTTTCCGTCCCATTGGCGTATACCCCACTACTCTTGTCATTTATATATTCCATGCTTACGTTCCGTTCATTAAAATGTCTTTTGCACTGAGGAGAGTGGACACCACACCTGCATAATTATTACTAGTTTTTTTTTTTACTATTGTCGAAACATTTGTATGTATTTGCTTGGATCTGTAACCTAATCCACACAGCAAAAGTTGGAATCTTTGGCTCTTAAAAGCGGTAACTATTACCAATGTTTTAAAAATCTTTCTTTTTTAAGTTCGTTTGTTGTAATTTAAAAGAGTGAATTTATAGAGTGATCTTTATCTGTTTTATATTTTTATAATCAACCTTGAAATTATAGAGGGATCTTATTCCGAACAACGTAGCCTAAAATTAAATAGCAACATTTTTATGTGCATGTCCAAATCTAAGAATTAGCTTTTTAATTGCGAGTGCTATTTCATTTTCGAATATTGTTCCTGTCTACACTATGATAATTATGTAATATATTGGTGAAGACAAATTTGTCAATCGGTCTACTTAGATTACGAGGCTTGTTAAAAGATAACACAACAAATGATTTAGACTTTTTTTATGTTGATGATAAATACTAGTATTCAAAAAACAATGACTCCTTCTTCTTGAGGGAAGCGCTCTCAGTTGGTTCGATATACGATATGATATAAATTATTAGTAATTTTTTGTACAACTGTTTTCGTTTCTTATATCATAGACGTCGGGAGAAGCGACCTAACGTATACACAATTTATACTTGAATGTAACGAAGGTATTGGACTTATGCAATGTACAGTCGGCAATCCTCGGGTGAATCCGCTACTCTCCTTCTATCTTAGATCAAGGTACGGAATCGGCCGAGTTGTGACGAATGATACAATGTAGTGCGTTAGAAATGAACGATGCAACAAAATTTACATTGGATTATCTACCGTTTATCATAAATATCTCGTCCAAAATATAACTCATATAATATGTTTATTATTTTGTTTGTTATTTCCTTTTCATATTCTACTCAATAATTATAAGTGCAAACTGTTTGTTGTGTTTAATATGTATTTTCCCCACAGATAGTATGCTAAGCAATGGTCTCAATAATTGACCCAGTAACAATCTTATATTTTGTCTTGTACTAATAGATTATCGTTGGTTATCTCAACGAGATTGATTTTCTCGCTTGAGCCGGTACGGCGAAAGTGAGAAAAGCAATCAAGTTGAGATGACCAATGATAATCTGTTTAGCGCTGTTTTTCCTATGACGACGTTGTTAATTTCATTGACAACGGGCACGTGGGCCCTTAGTTTCTAGCGATAATTTTTCATATCACTCGACTCCACTGAAAAGAAAATTATCAGTCAGCAATATCAAAGGAAAATTTCGTAAAATAGCGATAAAAGTGTATACTACCTTCCATAAATGCATTATATACTGAAACGTACTTGACGACTTTTTTTTTATACATGTTATACCGTTATTAGACATTTTAGTGCTTTTCAGTGCTTATTGTTTTAAAGTTTATATCATGATCATTTTATTAGTCCATTGATCGATATTAAAAGTTTGAGTTCTAAAAAAATCTACTAGAAGTTTAATCCCAACAAATCTTCATTTGGATGAGGTTTCGCACCAAAAGTTGTCTGTTGTTGTTTGTTAATGTTGGTTTGGGAATTAATGGCATACCCCTTATAGTCCTTGTCAAATGTCAATTTAAATTTGACACATAGTATACACCCTTGTCGGTTTATATTATCTCAGTTTCTCGTGTTACCAGAGACATTGTAACTCTTGTCAAAGATCTCATAAGCCAATCTGCTACTATAATCACATCACATTAAACGATACAAATTTTACTGTACCACTTGCGCATTTTGACAAATTATGTCTGTTTAATGATTATTTAGGCCAGAATATTTGGAGCGTTGAAAACCTTTTCTATAATCGAAAAGGCCCGAAACGAATTGCGCCATACCCGGACGAGTATTTGAAAAAAACCCTAAAAGAAACGACGAAAAGCTGATTATCGAAACGACCGAAACAATTGCTAAACCCGGACAAGGAACACATTCACCTCCCTGTCAAGAAATCATCACATGTTACAAAGAATGCGTTCCCCTGAATTGTTTGCCACCAGATGGTGGAGTGAGGATAGAAATTAAAGGATTATAACAATTATGAGGGAGGAATGAGCGCTCACAAGCATATTAAATCCCACCACATTCTTAATGTGCATGTCCGAAACCAGGAGCCAGTAGTCCACGAGTTATCATTAGTTGCCCTCTGTCGTATATGTTTTTCGTTTTCTGTTATTATCTTAAATTAGGATGGAGTTTTTCTTTATTAAATTGTTTCACTTCTTGTTACCCCGGGACTTTTTATAGCTTACAAAACAGAATGGTCTATACTCATGGTTGTTACCATACAAGGACTTAATGTTGTTCACAGCTTTTTTTTCCCTTGTTCTTTGATGGATAGTTGTCTCATTTGAAATTATACCAATTCTCCTTTCTCATATTATCATATTCCGGAAACTGAGACATTTTACAGGTTTTGCATGCATTGTAGTATATACTTACCCAGTCTGAGTCAAATCTGGTCTCGATACGTTTAGGGGTCATGCAATTCAGACTGTTTCCACTAGAAATCTGTTTATAATTGGGCTTGGAAAGTAGGAAGTGGAAGATACCAAGTGGATAACAAAAAACATGTCAGAAATAAATCTGAAACATCATGACCAAAACAAAAATAACGAGAAAACATTCCTCAAAATACTACGCAATAAAATGAAGATTTCGAGATCACAAAACACACTAAAAAACAAGGTATGAAACTCGGTTGCTCTGGAAGTGTACTCCGTTCCTGATGTACTCGTTACACGCGTCGTGTTGTGCATGGCAAGTGATAATTTGATGGTAAATCCAATTGAACGATGTCACAATCGGCAAAAAAGGAACTGAAATTTCGGCAACGACAAGTGGAAAATATCCGTGGTCATATTTGACACACTCAGATATTCCCTAACGGTCAACCAAATTATAATGACGCCCGTAAAAAGTAACATTCTAACTCTTATATTCTAACTGAAATGTGTATTCGTCTTCATTAGGAACACATTAAATGTTCAGGGTAAAAAAAACTCATGAAAGATACCAGGATTAAAATTTTGTACGCACGCTCGAATCAAGAAAGTTAAAAAGGCCAAATAAAGTACGAAGTTGAAAAGCATTCAGAACCAAAATTCCGAAAGGTTTGTCAAAATAAAGCTAGGGTAATAGTAATCTACTCCTAGGTTATAAAATCATTAGTATTTCGAAAATTTTGATTTGATTTGATTTTTGATTTTTGGTGTTTTAACGTCACTTTTAAGCACTGATTTTGGGCTATTTCGTGGCGGCCAGTTTTTATTGGTGGAGGAAGCCGGAGTGCCCGGAGAAAACCACCGACCTTCGATAGGAAAACTGACAATCCTAGTCAAGTAAGATCGAGTGCACCAGCACGAGCGGGGTTCGAACTCACAACTGCAGTGTTGACTGGCTAGTGATTACAGTAGTAACTACTTAAACCACTCGGCCACCGAGGCCATCGAAAATTTTGAAACTATTTATTTATAATTATGACCATGTCAATGATAATTCAAGTCAGTCAACACCGATGTACTGACCTTCGAAAACAGATCCATCATACCTGTATTTACAGAAATGATATTCAATGTTTGGTTATTGTTTTAGATCCCAGAAGGCAATTCAATAGAACAGACAGAGCATATCTTTGTAATGGGATACCAACAACTCCCTGTCAAGAAATCATTACAGGGTATACATCAGGCGTTCCCCAGACGTGTATGCCAGCAGAAGCTGGAGTGAGAATTGGCATTAAAGGATTTAAACAAGTCATGATAGCTGTATGTATCAATTATAAACATAGTATTGGTTATAATGTGTCAGTCTGACAGTTACGCATCGCGGATTTAGCGTACTCAATGCTACTGTACAACGTGTTGCATATTTAATGGCACTGCATGCAAGATAAAGGCAGCGTATCCGTAAAGGCAGTTGTAATGTAACGAGAGATATATACTATATACAGCATCACCATTGAACTGTCGTATAATATTGATACTTAATGTATATATATTCAGTCGTATTCTGGAACAAATTGCCATTTTCGCTAACGTTACTTTCCACTTGTATGAAACACATAGTATGTTCAATACGAAGTAGGGGAGATAAGAGTAGTACGTGTCAGCTGTAACGATAATATAGAGTAGCACAACAATCATGCACTATAGTAAATGTCTTTTCATGAAATAAGAAACACGGTTGTATGATAACAATATGCATTTATTGTCACAAATCGAACTACAAAAGAAACTTATACCTCGTTTTTCATCTATCATTAATCCAGTCTTAATGAGATAAATTCATGCCATGGTACCTTCGCTATAGTTTCAGTACTACAATCCTACCCGCCGCCAAGGATACACCGACAGTTCCGGGATGACTTTATATTACACACCGAAGCTGAGGAGGTTTGATGCAGGAGTTTCACCTTTGGAAGTGACACACTTTTCAGTACCACCAGGAAGAGAATCTTATGAAGTAGTGAGCGCATGCCCAGGAGATTGTACTGTTCTGCAGGTTGCATCTCCAATCTATATTATACTTGGTATGAATCATATGCACAGGCTAGGTACGTATTTTGCATATCTTTTAAATTGACTTAGCGGTAATGTTTGAAAACCATATTCATGTTTATGACGTAATCATACGAGAACATCTGACAAATTGTGCAGTCTTCAAAAAACAAAACAGAAAACTATAACCTAAGCAACATGAAATCCATAAAAAAATGGGGAATCTCTAAAATAGTAAATAGATCATTCTTCACGTTTGGCAACCTATTTGTTTCTCAAATGAGTAAACATTTGATGATAAGTCTCATTCGGGGATGTCACATTAGAGGAAACAAAGCCGGGATTGTGGGATAAAAAAAACCGTCACAATAAGTATTCAGGAGAGGATTTAAGCAAAACCTGTATAAACGACCACGCTTTGATACTATATGTATCGCATTAAAATCATTTGTGTACGATGTAAACATTCCTCAGAGTGTGAAATGAGGTAGATTTGCATAACCAGATTTAACAGTTATGTACTGTTCGTCTGTTGAACAAACAGCTTTTAGAAGTAAAAGCAAACTTCGATGCTATGACAAAGTAGGAAATAGTTCATAGTTTATATATTTGTTATCAACAACAAAACAAAAGCTTCCTCAGCAGTAAATATAGAAGTTATACTCCAAAGTTTTATCGTGAATCTTGCATTGTGCAGTTGAATTGTATTAATATCTTATTTGAAATGCTTTTAGGTCGGAAACAAAGAATAGAGATTCACAGAGGTGGTAAACTGCAGCAAATTGTCACAAATGATACTAATTATAAAGTTGTTCATCCACATTATTTTTGGTAAGAAAGTTGTTCTTAACAATTTACAGCTGTTTCTGTATTATGTCAAGCTATATATAAAGTTGTGGATGTTTTTTCTGACAGTATGCTATATGATTGAAATTTAATTATGTTCCAGGATGTATGCTGTAAAAAAACATTAAAGTTGCTGTATTTTCATCAATGAATTTTTTGTCAATACAAAATTTTTAAAGATAAAAAAATTAGAACGGAAAAAAAATAGGTCTGTGTTCTTGTTTTAAGAATACATGATTTTATGAAAATCTAGAATGATTCTCCTCTCCGAAAAAAACGTCGTCTTAAGCTATCTATAGATATTTATACAACATTTCAAGAACATTTTAGGGTGGTTTGGGGGGGATTTAAAATTTTATTAGAATTTGAAAATTATATGGTCAGCAGTATTGAAATTTGAGAAAGGTAAATGCCGAAGAAATATTGAAAGTTTGAAATAGGAACATTCGTTTCTGCTTTTCTTTTTAAATAACAGTTGTTTTTATTGAGATAACAAAGAAATTTCCTTTTTTTCTTAGATAAGGATCACTCTACACTATAAATACATCCATAGCTTTTAAATGTTTTGGTTTTAACGTTACTGGTGACAGTTATTCAAGAAAAGCGCTGCGAATGTACAAAATGTATAAAGTTATATTTTCATTTTTCAACTTTGACCTATTTTCAGGTATAAACAACCGATACAGTTATTGCCAGGAGACATGTTGAAAATGACCTGTGAATACAATTCTACCTCAGAAAATGAAACTGTAGAGTGGGATGTGTCATGGCGAGGAGAAATGTGTAAAGGTTTACTTTTGTACTATCCCAAACAAAGTTGGCCTTCACATCACTGTCAGAATTATAGATCCGTTCCTCTTTGCGAGATTATGATCGATGCTCCTGTCTTTGGATGCCATTTTCGGAGCTTTATTTCTAATTTAGCCACAACAAACCGCACGTTAGTAGATACTGTAATACGAAACTGCGGACAAGACAAATCGTGCTCTCCTTTGTGTTTACGGATGATTGGCAAAGTAAGACAAGATCCATGTTTGCAAGGGGACATATACGATCTATGGAAAGAGACTAGACTAGTAAAAGCCAACACACAACTGATGGCCTTGTACGATGTTTTAACGAAGTGTGAGGAATTTTACAAGGGACTAGTTCCAGATACCATTTTTTCTGATGTAGGAACAGTTCTGTCGTGATTTGGTTGACACTTTATGTCTGGTGTATAAATCAAGTTTAATGTAAAATAAAATGTGGGACAAATATTTTAAGTTATGTCTAGAACTATTGAAAAGTCAGAAGATATGTAATAACCAAAAACTTGCAAAATTCATTTTAAGATAGTGTTCTCTAAGTACACAGACATTGACATAAATTATTCTGTACATGTATGTTGTTAAAATAAACTACCGAATATCTGGATGAAATTCAGTAAATCAGTTCAGATGTCATTTTACCCCCTGAGTTCAAAAATGGATGGTATATAGCAATGGGGAATTCGGTGCGTTCGTTTGTCTGTTTGTTTGCTCAGTAGATCCTTTTTCTGTTTCACTTGTGTATTCGCAACGGCTTGTAAACCGTTTGACAGAATTTTAAACTTTAACAGAAATTTGTTCACATGATGTTTTTGGTTTGCATCTCGTATTTCATTTCTTAATTGAAACGTTTTTTTTTTGGTTTACTTTGGAACGACACGGACACCGTCATATCTGTAGACACATGCAATTGCACGTTAATTTTGTATCCGAAACTCTTACTTAACCATTCATAACAGTTTATTGAAAAATTCTCCCAATCGTACTCATGTTATTCCATTGTGCACCTTTTTAGTATTTAGTTTTATTAGAATCATTTTTGGTTTTCACTTAGCAAAGCATTGTCTTTGCAGGAGTCATGGTATTCAAGCTATAAGTAATAAACACATTTATTCTAAAACCAGTTGTTGGCATGATACGGATTATGTTCTTCTCGTATATTTTATGATGGTATGATACTAAACCCCTAACGGGAGGGATTGTGTTTGATTTTCATATGATGAAGACATAATCTTTCAATCAGTTTAATTGAGGTCTGGAGCTGGTATGTCAGTAACTGCTAGTAGTCCTTTGGTAATTTATGTTTCATTGTCATTTTGCTTAGTTTCTTTTGTTACCTATGCGTATTGCTGTGTGTTTGTTTATTCGACATTGGCTAGATGTATAGGGGAAGGGTTGAGATCTCACAAAATATGTTTAACCCCGCCGCATTTTTGCGCCTGTCCCACGTCAGGAGCCTCTGACTTTTGTTAATCTTGTATGTTTTTTTTTTAATTTTAGTTCATTTATATGTTTGGGAGTTTAGTGTGACGTCCATTTTCACTGAACTAGTACACATTTCTGTTTAGACGCCAGCTGAAACCCGCCTCCTGGTGCGGGATTTTCTCGCTGTGTTGAAGACCCATTGGTGACCTTCGGCTATTTCTACTTTTGTCGGGTTGTTTTCTCTTTGACACATTTCCCATTTTGATTCTCAATTTTACAATGTTTATGTTTCAAAGGCACCTGTAGTTAGCACTGAAGCACTGGCAACGAATGTAATAACAACAACAATGAAATAATGTTAATCAAAAGAAGGGAGTAATGGTGATCGCTTATCTAGTTTTGGACATTTATTTTGTTATTTGATTAAGGATATGTGTTTCTAAGGAAATATCAACCTATGTCTTACACACTACACACGCACTTGCATAATTACAAAACTGAAATTTGGTCAGGTATACTGGTACATGTTTTTGTTTAAATTGACAAAACTATAGTTTAGATGAAGATTATTCAATCCGATTAAAAAAATGAAAGACAATCCAAATATGAGGAATAAACAAAAAAGTGATAATTGGGACATGGGAACCAGATTTATGACCTTTCAGACTCAGGAGTAAAATCAGTGCTTATTCAGCCTTGGGAATCAGATGTGTGCCCATTCACACATAGGAATCATATTTGTGGCCATTGAGACATAGAATCGGACTTGTGCCCATTCAAGCATAGAAATCAGATTTGTGACCATTTAGGCATATGCATCGGATTTGTGCCTATTTTGGCATATGAATCGGACTTGTGCCCATTCAGGCATAGCGTCAGAGGTGTGCCCATTTAAGCATATACATCAGATGTGTGACATTTAATTTGTAACCATTCCGGCATAGGCATCAGATTTGTGCATGCATATTCAGATTTTGGAATCAGTTTTCAAGATTAGTTTTATCCACACAGACAAAAGTTTCTGAAATATTACTGTATGGAATTATTTAACAATAAGCCTGCATAACCATACAAATTGGCAAGCATAATTTAGATTGGACATGTCACACCAAAACTCTTATCCAGCACAGTTTGCTCTTCACACAGAACATTTATCTATCAATGTGCATTATATGTTAATCTTTTCTTAGCTGGTGAATTCGTTGTTTCTATTTTCTCTTTGTCTATTATAATTTTCAAAACAACGGGACGGTAATCATTCTGTACATCAAGCATCCACCAACCACTCGTACGTGCCCTATGACTGTTTGTTCAGTTAACTGTAAGTTTCACTCGACAAAATATTACAAACATGCAGCACACAAACTATTGCAATCAACGTCAAGCTCCAACCTTAACATACAAAAACAAATTTAATTATGCAAACGCCGTCGAAAGACAAAAACGCCCAAACAAAAACACAAAACAATACACTGTATCAGAAAATCAGATACGTAAAATGAGACAATTCATCATGAATAAAATGGTCAGGAATTTCGCTTATAACAAGTTCACTGACATACATTTAGTACTGAGTTGTGTATGGTAGGTTTAAACTTGATGATCTAAATACCAAGGGTATATCTTGGATCTTGACTAGCACCCTAAATATCGATAGTGAGGTCAATAATAAAACTAAACTTTACAACATAAACGATAATTCATGTTTTTATATTGTGATTTTTGTTTTCTGTGTCAACAATACAGCAGAACTTGCATATGAAATATTTATCTCTAAGAGAAATTTTCAGCTGACATGTAATGCGGAATGCTAGAATTTATTTTTATCATGATTGTTTTTTTATAATGGTTGCTGCTTTCCAGGAAAAAAATTAACAATGGATTATTGATGATACAGTAATACTTGCGAAAGTTTTACCGTACATATATTCACTATTTTAAATTTCCAGAGTAAAGGAAACGGATATGTAGTCTGATTGCCAATGTGGCAACTATCAACGAGGAATCCAAATGACGTACATGTAGGCAACTATCAGTCACCGCACGACCAAAAAATGAAGGCAACTATTCCATCACACAATATCCCAATCTCCCATTACACGGTACACCATTACACATTGCACGATGCAACATTCAACATTACACCATACATGTTATAGCGAAAACTGAATCAATATTCAAGAACTATAACGTTGACAACCTATGTGATATATTCAGTTGTGTAATAAAACATTCAGCATAAGCGAATGGGTACGACAGAACCTCGTTTATTGTCGGGTAGAATTAAGTTAGCACGATGATTACAATAAACAATTATAAATGTTTGTATTTTACATGATTGAAATATTCACTAATCTATTATCAAATTGTATTCTAAAATCCTGCTGTTAGTACAATATATACATACACTATAATTATTATTTATTCGACATCAATACATGTGGTACACAACATGGTTGACACAATATAATAGTTTGAAATTTTCGTATGTAAATTAGTGCAATATGACATTTTAGAGACACTTTAAAACAAACTATTCATAAATACAAACAAAAAATATCATAGCATAAAAATCTTGAAGTTTTTCAATTACACGCCGGACCCATTACATAGAGCAATTCATGTGTTCCATAATTTAACTTCACTTCGTATATTATAGACTAAAACCTTTGACAGTAAAAAAGACTTTTCAGGGTATCTTTACAGGCCTAAAGAATACAGTCAAATAAGGTTAAAGCAGTCAAAGGGGTGTTGCAACTTTAAATTAAGTATAATTACTGATTTATGATTTATGATCATTTTCACGATTAAAGGAAATTGTTTCTTTCCCTGTTCAACATAAACAAGCATAAAATAAGGTCTGGAAATGTATTTGTAAACATATAAGAAGTTCCTAAGTCACAAGTTTGTATGTCCAAACAAGAGAAAACTATTGTGTCAAGATTCAACGCGGGTCTTCAGTTCTGCACAGAAAGGATATTGATTGTGGTTAATGTGAAATTTTGTATTTGCCCCTATATTCATATAGAAATATATAGTAAGAGCGGATTGAAAAAGATTGGTATGAAAGTGTGAATGATCCTGACAAATTTTGTAATGCCAAAAAAAGGGCCCTGTGATTAGGAAAATATAGAATTTGAATTTGAATTTATATTTACATTTATCATTTTTGGTTCCCGACTGCACACCAATTAAGAAGTTAAATTCGATAATATAGTTTTTTTTAATTAAAAGGCCGTTTTTACAAAAAAAAAAAAAAAAAAAAAAAAGGAAAGAAAAATGTTCAATATATTTTGAACATTTTCCTCTTATTTCATTCGTTGGAAGATTTGTTTTTATCCATTAACAGCTATGATTTCTCTTAATACATACTCTTATTCAACCACTAAGTGATAACAGTGTTTTCCTATCAATCTGAATTTAACAATATCTAATTCAGACATGCAAAGAGGTGATGCAACCGTTTTTTATTCTTCTAAATAATAGTCCGCTTCAATTTGAAGAAAAAGAGAACCAGTGATTTGTATTTCAACTTTTGTATAATTATAGTTAGATTCAATGACTAAGAGTCATTAGAATTGTACGAAGATTGTACGAAACAACACTTGGTATATTTGAACAATACATGTTGATAATTAGACATCACATGTATTATCTGAAAGCAACCAAGACTTTAAGTTAACGCAAATCTGATGAGTCATACAATTTATTTGTCGTTTGATTTGTTTACATTTTGTCTTGTCGGGGGCGTTTGAAGCTGATTGTACTGTATGTGTTTTGATGGCGGTAACCAATAGTTGTTAACATCCACGTCCTTTAGACTCTGTTGGATAATTGTTTCATTGGCAATTATAACACATCTCCATATTATATACTTAAGGACCCATTTGAATACTTTTAAAAATAGATATGTATAGGTATAATGTAATTTTTATTCAACAAATGACATTATTTTAGTTACACACACTATTCCACTAATGATGCTTCACATAGTGCTTTAATCACACTGATTGAACCATCTCGCATTATCAATATATATTGACTTATTCGTTACCTTGCTAAACTCCAATGAAACGTAAC